GCTTCCCTTTGTGGCCTGTTGTGTGTGACATTTGAGTGCACCCAAGCACAGAATGTGGAGTTTGACTTGATAAAACATCAGGGACTTGATCTGATTGGTTAACCAATGAGTTATCTATGCTGCAAGGATTCTTGAAACAAGACCCCGCTATTGTTTAGTGGCTCTTTGTTTTGCCCTGGGCATTCAAAAGCTCTTGTCTAACCCCACAGAAGCTACCAGCTGCTCGGAATGCAGTAATTCCTGCTAAAATTACACAAGAAAGCTAAACAGCTAAACAAAAGGGTCCGAAAGATTCCTGAGCGAAATATAAAAGTGGTGCACAGACATGTCTTTGTTATTATTCTTGACTTTGATATCCAAAAATCACTATCTGGATGTAAACAAAAGCAATTTTTCGACTGTGTTTGGTGCCGGTGTGAAATATGGCTGGCCTAGTGAGTCCTGAAAGCCAACCCAAAAATGTCCCCAGATTCACAAACATGTCAGATAACCTGGGTAGTGAATTCTTTAGCTCAACCTGATACGTTCCAAATGTTGCTGGACTACAACTTCCAACATCCATTGATCACGGTGGCTGTGGGTGATGGGACTTGTAGTCCAAAACATCTTGAAGGTACCAGGATTAGGAAAGGCTGCTTTAGGTTTTTTTTAAAAAATAAAAATAAATTCAGCAGCAATCTGCCAGTTTTATGTGAAATTAAACTCTGGGCTATAGGGCCCCTCCCCACTTTTAACCTGACCTTTGACACTTAAGATGTGTATTTTTAGAACCCATCCTATTCTTGCAATTTGTTTAAAACGGTTTGACGTATTTTAAACTGTTGTGGCTCATCCTGGGACCTTAGGGTGGAAGGTGGGTAAAAAATCCAATTAAAATTATTGTTGCTTATTATTCAATTTGTATACTGCCCTTCATTTTGTAGGAGTGGGCAGGTTCTGTGAATATACACAATTATATTAACCATTGTGCTTGTCTGCAAGCTTGCCCATCTTGGACTCAACAGCAGTTTCGCCGGGCATAGAATCGATGCACAACTCATGCAAAAGCTCAGGTGGGCCTAGTCCCTTACAGACTTCACTCCCCAACCTCCCTTTATTTAGCAACAGAATAAAGAATGGCTGACCATCTAGTTAGGCGCATTGTGATTGGTTAAAAAAATTAAAAGATGCTAGGATGTGATGCGGTCACTTGCGGCCCTGGTATTCCCTCCATCTACATATGGCTATCCAAAGCAGGATGCAGATGTTTTGGTGACTGAGGCAGAAACCGCCTCGCTCCAAACCACACAGCATCCTCGCCCCTTCCCCTACATCTTGTCTATAACTCAACAAGAGCAACAGTAGGAGTTTCTGCAAAAAAACCAAACTGATGGAAATGAATGGAAGCTGAGGAAATTAAGTTCCTTCTGTAGCAGAACTTCCTCAAATACAAATATGACATCCCAAGCCTACCACCTGTGGCAAACACTTTCTACCTTGCCTCCCAGCGGGGGTACCTGCGTAGCCGTTGTTTAGTCGTGTCTGACTCTTCTTGACCCCATGGACCAGAGCACACCAGGCACTCCTGTCTTCCACTGCCTCCCAGTTTGGTCAGACTCATGCTGGTAGCTTCGAGAACACTGTCCAACCCTGTCGTCCTGTGTCGTCCCCTTCTCCTTGTGCCCTCCATCTTTCCCAGCATTGGTCTTTTCCAGGGAGTCTTCTCATGAGGTGGCCAAAGTATTGGAGCCTCAGCTTCAGGATCTGTCCTTCCAGTAAGCACTCAGGGCTGATTTCCTTGAGAATGGATAGGTTTGATCTTGCAGTCCATGGGACTCTCAAGAGTCTCCCCCATCACCATAATTCAAAAGCATCAGTTCTTCGGCGATCAGCCTTCTTTATGGTCCAGCTCTCACTTCCATACATCACTACTGGGAAAACCATAGCTTTAACTATACGGACCTGCGTGCCTACCTGGAACAAAAGGTTATTTCATCGTCCTTCAGAGACACGCCAGCTCATGCGTTAGTAGTTAAAAGTGTTTTCTGGGTTGGTGGATACAATGGAACTGTAGGGGATGATGTGCTTACTGACCTGATAACAATCGCCACATTTACCCTTGCTTAATACCCTGGAATATAGGCATGTCCTCCTACAATAACCCTCCCCCCCCAAAAAAAAAACCACACGACATGACAGGATTGATTAAATACCCTAGGGCCTGAAGTCCACCCCATGTGTGCTTGTGTAGCATCTGGAAAAATGCAGCTGGCTGGGATGTTAAACTGGCCAGGGTGTGTGCGCATGAAATGAGCAACAAGAATACAGTGGTACCTCTGGTTGCGAACGGGATCCGTTCCGGAGGCCCGTTTGCAATATGAAAAGAGCGCAACCCGCAGCGGTGCGTCTGCACATGCGCGGGTTGCGATTCGCTGCTTCTGCGCATGTGTGTGATGTCATTTTGTGCTTCTGCGCATGCGCGAGCGGCGAAACCTGGAAGTAACCCTTTCTGGTAATTCCAGGTCGCCGCAGGATATAACCTGAAAGAACGTAACATGAAGCAAACGTAACATGAGGTATGACTGTACTGACCCTCATCTCAGCAAAACGAAGAATTGTTTTAAAACTGGCTTTATCTCCAGTCTCGCAATACCAAATCTGGGCACCTGGCTGCTATTTTTATTCATTTTAGTTCCAATATAACATTCTGCCCAATAGCGAAGGTTTGTTTCTTGTTTATTTGCTACGTTTATATCACACCTTTCCTTCAAGAAGTTCAAGATGGCAGACATCTTATATACATCCCTCTCCCATATTTTATCCTCTTTCCCCTTTTTACCTTTACAGCAACCCTGGGAGGTGGGTTAGGCTGAGAGACGGTGGCTGGCCCATGGTCATCCAGCGAGCTTCATGGCCAAGAATCAGGAGCTCAGGGTGGTTTACAGAAAAAAAATAAGAGTTCTGGACGACTCAAAAGGTTTCTCAGGGTTACTTCCAGATTGTTGTTACTTTCAGGTAGGATTTGATTTCATACCAGCAAATTTAAATTGTGCAGTTAAAATGGTTGCGAGCTCCTGCGCAACAAACCTACTTCTCCCCCCCAAAATAAAACTTTTGGCAAAAAGGAAAGTGATGGGAGATGCACTGTATACCTGAAGGAGCATCTCTACCCCCATTGTTCAGCTCAGACACTGAGGTCCAGCTCCGAGGGCCTTCTGGCGGTTCCCTCACTGTGAGAAGTGAGGTTACAGGGAACCAGGCAGAGGGCCTTTTTGGTAGTGCTGCCCGCCCTGTGGAACACCCGCCTTTCAGATGTCAAGGAAATAAACAACTATCTGACACTTAGAAGACATCTGAAGGCAGATGTTTTATTGTGTTTTTAATATTCTGTTGGGAGCCAGCAAGAGTGGCTGGGGAAACCCAGCCAGATGGGCGGGGTATAAGTAATAAATTATAATATTAATATTATTACTGGAAAATGTGGGATAACATCTGCTCGACGCATTGACATCTAACCTCCCTACAAACAAATCAGAATGAATATGCAACAAAAAGTCATTGCGTAACTCTCTCCGGAAACTTTGCACAAACACATCAGAATGAGGGCTAAATAAAGAGTCGGCATTGTCTTCTTACTGTGGCACAAGGAGTCAATTTGTCTGGCTGTTAATCAGCAGGTTGGTGGTTCAAACCCACCCAGGGACAGCTGTGGGCAGAATTTCCTGCACTGCAAGGGGCTGGACTGCATCTCCCAACTCTTACGATTCTATGTGGTCCTCGCAATCGAATCAGAATGAATGCGTAATATGAAGTCAACATTGTTGAACCACTCTGGAAACTTTTCCCCCCCCAAACACACCAGAATGATGCTCCTCCGCGATTAGCTGAACATTGTCCCACCTCTCAGCAAACGCATCAGAATAAATGCTAAATAAATCGGCCAAACTTTGTGCATGCTCAAGAAGCACGGCGCCTGGAAGCAACCTTTTTGTGACATTGCAGGTTTTTTTATTATTTAAATTTTTATTCCCCCCCCCATTCTTTATACTCACACTTTCATCCAGGGATATCGTATAACTTACAAAAAAATCATTCAGCATGCAATCTAACAACAGCATGCATCAAAAACCCTCCTCCTATTAGTTATACATAACAGTATATACTTTTGTCCCTACTCATTTATCCTAATTTCCCCCTTCCTCCCTCCCTTTTAACCCCTCCCCCCAAAAACTTGTTCTCGCTTCAGATCTTTAACCATGTGCACAGATTATTCATTCTAATTTGAATGCTTGGGTTGGCTTCCCCCAGTGCTATCCAATTCCTATAACTTGTCCATTTATTCAAAATCTTTTGACATTTGTTTTCCCATGTATCTTCCGTCATTACTTGTTCAAATATATCAGATTGCATATATTCAAAAACACAGTCATTCCATTTTTCCATTTATCCTTTTATTTCCATCCTAATGCATTGCAGTTGACCTGATAAAGGTCAGGTGTGGGGGTTGTCCCCCCCCCCTTATGGTCCAAAAAACCTTTTTTTTTAAAGTTAGGGGCTTTTCCAGTCCCATCCTAGCCCAAAGCGCTGACACCCTCCGTCCCCGCACATGACTCGCCTTGCAGACTCTGAGAAGGGCGGAGAAGGAGGCGCCGCCTCCCGCCCCTTTTTGCGCACAAAGGGCTTTTCGCCTTTTCTCTCTCGCCGCCCCGCCCCTCTGGCTGGCTTGTCACAGCCCAGGCGAGCAGAAAGTGCTTCTGGAGAGATTAAAACAAACCCACCAGTGTGGGCGAGACTCCCAGGGAAGGCATGCCACAAAGCAGCTCAGTTAACTCGAGGAAGGAACTGTACCGCTCGGGCTGCTGCACAGTAACGGAATGCATTTAGTTAACACAAACATGGCTGCTGCCTTCAGAGCTGCAAACCGAGCCTTGTACCCATGTAAGTGAACAAACCGGCTGCATCTTTCTCCAAAGGGTCGTTGCAATGCCTATTTCCTTCCCCCTCTCTTCCTTACTAAGAGGATTCTCCCCTCGCCCCGCAGAGGGGGAATGGGGAGAGCACCTTTTAACTGGGTTTTGCTGGCTGCCTGGAGAGGGAGAAAGGAGGGGGCTCTTGCATTTTCCTTTCCCCGGGGTGGCGGGAGATGCGCTTTTGTTGCGGAGGTCGATCTCCCGGGGGTCACTGGAGGGGTGGGAAAAAAAGAAAAACGGCGTTATGCAAGCAGCGTCTCTCTTATATAAGGACTTCTAGCAAATGCATTGCTTTTTTATTTTGTTAAAGTGACAGCACAGAAACCGCTTTTTTGCAATCCTGTGCAACTTTTTACGCGGAATCAGGGTAAACAGGCTGGGCAAGAGAATTGTTCTTTTTTTAATTATAGAAAAGGGTTTTCAGCACGCCTTGCATAAATCATCAGAACAAGGCTAGTACTTGAGCGAGATATTATTTTTAAAAATTAAAAATCCACGCCCACCTGAGACCCGCAGAATGCACGCGCGGACTATATAGCCCTCCCAGGTAAGGCTAAAGTGCGCGCGGTTGGTTTTGTGCAAGCGGTCGTCGGTTTGGGTGCGAAAACGAAAGGGGATCCGTGTTGCTGACGCCGAGAGCTTGTTACACAACGTGGCCGGCGGAGAGGAGAGTTTGCGTAAAGGGCTTAGCACCACCTCTGGAGAGCTTTGCATCCGGCGTGCAGCATCAGGGAAATAGAGAGTTTGGAAAGTGCAAACTGCAGGGAGTTTGATTGTTCTTCTGCTTCGAATCGTTTCACTTGTGGGGGGGTGTTTTAAGTTTAAATTAAATAATTGCAACTATTTTTATCTGGTGGTTTTTTAAAAATAGCTGTATTTTATGGTGCTGTAACCCATCCTGGGAACCTTAGGGCGAAGGAACAAATACTGTGGAATGAGTATTGTCAACATTTTAAGAAACCAAAGAGATCTGCAGTTTTTGCGGACCTGCCTCTCAGCTGGATGTTGCAAGGCTCATTTTTAAATATGGAATTCGTGGGTTTTCTCCCTCCCCTGCTAGGTATAATCTTTTCCTTTCAGGGAAAACTCAGGTAGTGAATGTCAAAAGAATTGTAGCATGTTGGGAAGCCTCCCAAGTTTTCAGAACAAAAAATATTTAAAAGTTGGGAGGGGAAACCAAAGCAGCCAATCTAACCCCTATAAATGAATTTGAAGCCCATTTCAAGGCTTTCATATTGAACTTGCATGTATGATTATCGCTGTCACTTACGTTTGAAGGCTAGAATTGATCACAGTCTCTCACGTGCACAACGTTTGGTGAATGGGAGCTGATGAAAAGTTTCTACCAAAAACGCTGTTTGAAACTCTAAGCGCTTTTTGCAGAAGGGAATTGCATTAGTGTGAGCAGTTTCTGAGCTCTGGGCTCAGTACTGTGACTAAGATTTCAGATTAAAACTGCGGAGTGGAAGGAAAGGAGGACCTTTTCCTGCCTCCCCACTTCCAGCTACTCTCTGAAGACTGGAGAAGAGGCCCTCTTAAGAATATTAGGGAGGTGAGCAGGGGAAGGACTAGACCATGTGAAGAATGAACACAATATTTTAGCTGCAGTTCATTCATTTTCAGCTTTGTATTAGTGTGCCTAGACATTCCATTGTTGCGCCCATAACCTAGGTTTAAGGTGTCCTTTAGCTCCTAGCTTTCATATCTCAATTTCTAACACTGACCAAAACACAAAATGTTGAAAGTGTGATACTGGATTATGAAGGTTAGTACAGGGGTACCTCTGGATGCGAACGGTATCCGTTCCGGAGGCCCGTTCACATCCAGAAGCGAACGCAATATGCGTGTGTGCGGGTTGCGATTTGCCACTTCTGCGCATGCGCGTGACGTCATTTTGACCATCTGCGCATGTGCGAGCGGCAAAACCTGGAAGTAATGTGCTCCATTACTTCCGGGTCGCCACAGCGCGCAACCCGGAAATACTTATCCCGAAGCTACTTCATCCTGAGGTATGACTGTATTGCCAGCTTTACAAGTGAAGGTGAGCATTTGCACTCCTGTTATCAGCTGTGAAGTTGGTTCCCCTGCTTCCCCAAGCTCTAGACCCGGGGTCAGCAACCTAAGGCCCATGGGCCATAAGCGGCCCATGGGGGTCGTTTAACTGGCTCATGGACCCCCGCCACTTGGTCGGCTCCTGTGCGCTGTGCTAAACCAGCATGGAGCAGAGCGGGGACTGCCTTCCGCAACGCTAGCCGGCTTCCCATTGGCTGCAGGAAGCTCCTGCAGCCAATGGGAAGCTGTGCACGCCTCTTCTGCGCCGGAAGGAGCGCTGGAAATAGCGTTTGCATGCGTGCGCACTCCGGACCACTGCGGCATCTGCGGGACTGTGAACCAGCCCAAGCCACAAAAACTTTGCCGACCCCTGCTCTAGACAGGTCAACTGCCTACAAATGCAGCCCTTGTTGTTTTATAGGCAAATTTAGAAGATCCATAGTAGAGAAGCTCCGTTTGGGGGCGTCAAGTTTTGATCTCGCACAAGGCACCATATCACAACAGATTACTAAAGTATGCCCATTGTGCAGGCATCACTAAGTGGGTAGGCGGCATTGCAGAGACAGAAAAAAACCCACAAGAGAAGCCCTAGAAATGGCCCTAGAAATATGCTTAAATTTAACAACTGTAGAGTGAAATAAACCAGTTCTTAATTTTTCCTAAAGGCCTGACACCTGCTAATCAGGGGATTTTCTGTTGTGTTTATTTTCCGATTGTATTTGCATCCTTGTGTGCATTTTCGAGGAAATGCCGTAGCTCAGTGACAGAGGCCGTTTTATGCATAGAGAAAGTCCCACGGTCAGTCCTTGGAGGTCATCATGGACCGTTCTGGGCTTGGTGGGGACGAATAATCTGACTCCGTATAAGGCAGCTTCTCATGGGTTTTGAATGAACGAAATCTTGCATTGCAAATAAACCAATCAAGTAATAAACTAATTGTTCTGTTTTTCCCCTTGCTCTTGTCTAGTCACAGCAAGCAATGGCTGCAGTCGGGCAAGAGTCCAGCTACAAGGGAGATGTCAGTCAACGGCGACGGCAGCTGCGCAGGCCCAAAAAACCAAGCCTCAGGCCCAACCTGAAAAGAGGTGGGGAGCTATTGTGTGGGTGGTTCATCTGCACAGGAACTGATAAAGCTCTACATATGGGTGTAGTTTAAACTGTAGAACATCAGAGAAATTGCATGCTTTTCAGTGCAAATATTGGTGGACTTCAGTTCCCATCAGCCCTGGCTAGCACAGCTGACAGTCAGGCATGAGGGGAGTTGCAGACCACCAATATTGGGAGGGCAGCAGGCTTCTCACCCCTGCGAAAAAATTTAAAAGTAATGTCAGGCTGTGCATACACTTAACAGGGAGTAAGCCCAATTGGAACACAGCGAGGCTTGCTTACAAATTAAAATGGCTAGGATTTTGGTGCCTTAAGCTAGTGTTACGCATTGGCTGATGAGGAGTGAATATTAACGCCTCTCTTCAGTGCTGGATTTATGTATAAACTAAACAAGCTATAGCTTAGGGCCCCACTCTCTTGGGGCCCCCAAAAATATATATAAAGGAAAAAACCTGGATGTACATTTCCAAAATATAAGGTAAAAAACAAATAAAATAAAACCTACATCCATCAACAGTGTTTTGTGTTGTGGAAGCTCCTATGATGTAAGTAATGGGCCCCACCTGCTCCCTAAAATATCACTGGTTTGTTCATTTTTATATATATCTTGCCTACGTTCTGCTATTTATAATTATTAGTAGTTTGCATTATATATTTACACCTGTTATTATTTCACGTTATAGCAAGTTTCTAGAGACTAGATTATGAGTCTTTGTAAATTGTGTTTCTAAAGGAACTTCTGTTATTGCCAAATGCCAATGTGTTTGCATTATTAAGTTTGTTATGAATTAAAAAATCATTTTAAGTTAGCGCTTAATAATAATTTCACTATTAATATACTTTCTCTGGTGGCATTTATTTATTTTGCAATGTTTCTAGGCCACCTTTCAAGTGGGGGTGGGGAGAAGGACTTTCCAAAGCAATTTGGGCATAAAATAAAATGCAAAACTTCAATATAGAGTTTCAATAAAATAACAGTAATTTAAAACGGGTATCCATTACAATTCCTTCCAAACGTGGGTTGGACTCCATCTCCCATCAGCCCAAGCCAGCATGGCCAATATCAGGGGACACAGTAGTAGCTGGGGGATGCTGGGAGTTGTAGTCCCAGCACTATGTGGCAGGCACCCTGCTGGTTACCTCCAGGTTAAAATATCTCACAGTCAGCCAAATAAGAAAGAAACAAAAAATGGAAAGTGGAAGGCAGCAGCCCTTGTTTTATTTCGAATTGATGTGTTAAACTTATCCTCCTGTTCTCTTTTTTTCTATAGGAAACCTAAAACGGGGATCTTGATGTTAAACATGGGAGGCCCAGAGACACTTGGAGACGTCCATGATTTTCTTCTTAGGCTTTTCCTTGACAGAGACCTGATGACTCTTCCGGTCCAAAAGTGAGGCTTAGTGCTTTGGTTTGCCAGAAGTCGTGCTGAGTTGCTTGCTGTTTGGGGAGGTTTAGGAACCTCTTTCTTTCTTTCTTTCTTTCTTTCTTTCTTTCTTTCTTTCTTTCTTTCTTTCTTTCCTTCCTTCCTTCCTTCCTTCCTTCCTTCCTTCCTTCCTTCCTTCTTCTTTCTTTCTTTCTTTCTTTCTTTCTTTCTTTCTTTCTTTCTTTCTAGAGAGCCAGTGTGGTGCAGTGGTTAAGAGCGGTAGACTCGTAATCTGCGGAACCGGGTTCGCTTCCCTGCTCCTCCACATGCAGCTGCTGGGTGACCTTGGGCCAGTCACACTTCTCTGAAGTCTCTCAGCCCCACTCACCTCACAGTGTTTGTTGTGGGGGAGGAAGGGAAAGGAGAATGTTAGCCGCTTTGAGACTCCTTTGGGTAGCGATAAAGCGGGATATCAAATCCAAACTCCTTCCTTCCTTCCTAAACACCTGGCTTTATTTCTTTATTGTTTCATAAAATGTATACACCATTTGATTGTTGTTTAAAAACACCCTTAAAGCAATTCATGAAGAGAGCAAAGCAATAAAATGACTGGCAAAAGCAGTTAAGAACAGCTACTTAGAACATTTGTAAAATAATTAGCAATAAGCTAAAAGCAGATTAAAACACACATCAATCTAAGCAGGCTTTTGGTCAGGAAGGGTGATGGTTGACTTCCCTGCCTTGGTTGGAATTTTCATTAGCTGGCTTAAATGTGATCCAGGTAAGTGGAAAGTATTTGACACCTTGTGTGGTGTTGCATATGTCTGGTAACACTGAAACGGTGCCTTCAGTTCCTGCAAACGGTTGGCTTGCAATGCCATGGTATGCCAGGCAGTCTGTGGTTTCCAGGTGTGCTAACATGTGCATAGCTGCTGATGGCTCAATCTGAAATTTGTGTCCAGGGCAGCTGTCTACCAGCTCCATCTGGTAAGCAGGCTGAGACCCTACCTGCCTGCGGACTGTCTTGCCAGAGTGCTGCATGCTCTGGTTATCTCCCGCTTGGACTGCTGCAATGTGCTCTACGTGGGGCTACCTTTGAAGGTGACCCAGAAACTACAACTAATCCGGAATGTGGCAGCTAGACTGGTGACTGGGAGCAGCCGCTGAGAACACATAACACCGGTCTTGAAAGACCTACATTGGCTCCCAGTGCATTTCCGTGCACAATTCAAAGTGTTGGTGCTGACCTTTAAAGCCCTAAACGACCTCGGTCCAGTATACCTGAAGGAGTGTATCCACCCCCTTTGTTCTGCCTGGACGCTGAGGTCCAGCGCTGAGGGCCTTCTGGCGGTTCCCTCACTGCGAGAAGTGAGGTTTATAGGGAACCAGGCAGAGGGCCTTCTCGGTAGTGGCACCTGCCCTGTGGAACGCCCTCCCATCAGATGTCAAGGAAATAAACAACTATCAGACTTTTAGAAGACATCTGAAGGCAGCCCTGTTTAGGGAAGCTTTTAATATTTGATGAATCATTGTATTTTAATATTCTGCTGGAAGCCGCTGGTGAAAAAACAAAAACCTTTTTTATGATGGTGAGCGGAACGGAGGTAAAGTGAGGTTGCTATCGCTAACAGCCGTCTCTCGACCTTTTCAGTAAGCTGGCGCCTTTTATTGCCAAGCGACGGACGCCCAAAATCCAGGAACAGTATAGTCGGATTGGTGGAGGATCGCCTATTAAGAAATGGACTGCTACGCAAGGAGAAGGCATGGTGAAGCTATTGGATGAAATGTCTCCCCACTCTGGTACGTGAATCCTTCCTTTAGGCATGTCCTGCAAATACTTTTAAAAAAACCTCTGCACACATTTGTATGGCGCAAAGCCAAGAAAAATACTATCCTCCATGTGAAAAAATCCATGTACATTGGTACCTTGTGACTCAAACGTTTTGGCTCCCAAATGCCGCAAACCCGGAAGTGAGTGTTCTGGTTTGCGAACGTTCTTTGGTACCCAAACTTCCGACGTGGGTTCCATGGCTTCCGATTGGCTGCAGGAGCTTCCTGGTGCTAATTGGAAGCTGCACCTTGGTTTCGGAACATTTTGGAAGTTGGACGGACTTCTGGAACAGATTCCGTTTGACTTCCGAGGTTACAGGGAACCAGGCAGGAGAGCCTTCTCAGAAATGGCACCCTCCCTGTGGAATGACCCACCATCAGATGTCAAGGAAATAAGTAACTATACAGCCTTTGTGGAAGACAGGAGTGCCTGGCATGCTCTGGTCCATGGGGTCACAAGAGTCGGACACGACTAAACAACAACAACACAGCCTTTAGAAGAAATCTGAATGCATCACTGTATAGGGAAGTTGTTTAATGTTTTATTTTTATATATGTAGGAAGCCGCTTCACTCAGATGGGCAGGGTACTTCTTCTTCTTCTTCTTCTTCTTCTTCTTCTTCTTCTTCTTCTTCTTCTTCTTCTTCTTCTTCTTCGTTATAATCAGAGGCAAAGCCCTCTAGGGAATGTTGGGATACTGCCGGGGAGACGGGGGCAGCAGGCAGGCCCCCAGCTGGCTCCAGCCACTGGCCGGCAACCGGGCGATCACCAGTCTCCCTTGGAACAGCATCAAACAGCAACGCGAGCCTCAGATACGTTTAGAGACTCGGCACGCTCTATCAGCAGAGTGAATAAATCTTCACACAACAGAAGTGGTGGACAGAAATGTGTAAGCGTTTTTACAGCATTTATTCAGCATAGTTCAGGAACAAACATGCCTGCTTCCCTACGTGTCCAGCAAACACCTAAAAGCAAAAGCAATATACAAAACGGAAGTTCCCAGCAAGTGCTGGAAGTAAACAGGCATGTGACACACAACAGTCATGCCTGTCCCTTTTAAGGTGGAACAGAACTATATCCTAACAGGGAAGAGCTGTAGCTCAGTGGTAGAGTATCTGCTTGGCAGGCCAAAGGTCGCAGGTTCAATCCCCAGCATCTCCAGGTCGGGCTGGGAATGTCCCCTGCATAAAACCTCAAAGAGCTGCTGCCAGTCCGTATTGACAGTACTGAGCTCAATGGAGCAGTGCTTTGCTTGATAAACGCAGAAGGCACTTGCCTAATCCGCAGAGCTAACAAATGCGTAAAGTGGCCCGTTTCATGGCAAACATCCAGCGGATGTTGTGAGGAACAGTGAGCAATGCTTCTCAAAGAAAGAGAAGGGTGGATTGTAGCATGGCCTGAACGCTGCCTGTTCATGTTTGAACCAACTCCAACAAGTCCCCCTGGCTGCTGATACTGAACACAAGCATATCTGAGTGTGGTTCGCCGTTACCACCGAAACCGTTACTCCTTCCTTATCATCCAGCCTGAACTCAGGGGAGGAACCTCACAAGTTGTTGGGTGGGGCCGGTGACAGTTGCTCGACTTGAGGGCGCCGGGGGAGTCTGGCAAACCTTATCAGACACCCTTCCCCACACTAAATGGTCCATTTGTCAGGCACCCAAATAACCAGAGTTCTATGGGAGATGGAACAGGTTGAACCAAGTTGCAGCTGCACCTGAACTCTCCCCATCGGCAGACCCAGACGCAGATGTGCTTAGTTACCATGCATTGACCCAGTGATGTGTCAACCAGCCATTCTGGATCAAAGCCACCAGGCGGAACTTTGGTATCCGCAAGCACGATGCTTTTAAAAGAAACCTGCTAGCGTGGGACACAAGATTGATGTGCCTTGCACAGCAATTGCACGTGTGAACTGCGGTAATTAGACTAGCGCACGTAGATCATGTTCTTGACACAAGTAAGCACACTGTGAAAGATCTGAAGACTAGTCTCCAACACTCCCTCGCCTTGTCAGGCAAGTCAGTAGCTTTTAATTTTTTTTAAAAAAAGTAAAATTAGTGTGTTTAAAAGGGCCGGGGAATTGGGAGCATTAAGTTAATGGTTTAGGGAGCCTTATCTGCTCCTGTCAGACCTCATCACTCCCTCTGATTTTGCAGCCTGGCTTCCCCAGTGAAAGCCGCCCTGCCTTTTATCTATTTGTACATCCTTTGCATCTTAACTTTCACTCCTATTATGTCAGGCAGGCCTCTTCTGCTTCTGCCATAACTGCGGGCTACTGTTTTTTTTGCTAGATAAGGGCAAAGCAGGTAGGAAAGGGGAACAACACTTCTTGGAAGCATGCTGAAGTCTGCGACTCCGACATGATGGAAGTCTTTGCTTCCTTGGAGTTCTGTTTAAAATGGTTAGTTTGTTTATTTTCTCCTTTCCAGCTGTCAAGGTTTCCTATTTGGCAAAATACAGTGGTACCTCGGGTTACATATGCTTCAGGTTACATACGCTTCAGGTTACAGACGCCGCTAACCCAGAAATAGTTAAGAACTTTGCTTCAGGATGAGAACAGAAATGGTGCTCCGGTGGCAGTGGGAGGCCCCATTAGCTAACGTGGTGCTTCAGGTTAAGAACAGTTTCAGGTTAAGAACGGACCTCCGGAACAAATTAAGTTCTTAACCCAAGGTACCACTGTACAGTGGTACCTTGGGTTACATACGCTTCAGGTTACATACGCTTCAGGTTACAGACTCCGCTAACCCAGAAATAGCACCTCGGGTTAAGAACTTTGCTTCAGGATGAGAACAGAAATCGTGCTCTGGTGGCAGTGGGAGGCCCCATTAGCTAAAGTGGTGCTTCAGGTTAAGAACAGTTTCAGGTTAAGAACGGACCTCCGGTACGAATTAAGTACTTAACCCAAGGTACCACTGTACCAATTTAGTGGGTCATTGGGAGTTGCTGTGATGTTTGCCCAAAGTGCTCCTGTTCTATTAAAAAGATGTGCAAACCAGCTGGGGTTTTTCCCCTTCAGTTTGAGGATTTAGGTCACACACAAACCCTCTACTGTAAGTTCGAAACTCCCATTGTTCTAGGTGCATTTTGCGACAGCGAATTTCATTAGCGCAAGCAGTTTCTGAGCTCTGGGCACAGTACCGCACCTAAGATTTCAGAGTAAAACTGCAGTGTGGAAGGAAAGGAGGACTTTTTCCTGCCTCCCCCCTTCCAGCTACTCTCCGAAGACTGGAGAAGAGACCCTCTTAAGAATATTAGGGGGGGTGGGCAGGGGAAGGACTAGACCATGTGAAGAATGAACATAATATTTTAGCTTCAGTTCATTCATTTTCAGCTTTGTATTCTTGTTATTAAAAAAAGGCATTCCGTTGTTGCACCCATAACCTCCGTTTAAGGTGCTGTTTAGCTCCTAGCTTTCATATCTCAGTTTCTAATGCTGTTGTAAATACACCACTTGGAGAGCCTTTCAGAATTGTTGAGTTGGAAGGGACCGCGAGGGTCATCTAGTCCAGCCCCCTCTTTATTGTTTTTAAAAATGTTAATAAGGCAGAAAAGACCCTCCTATACTGGAAGGCACAGGCAATGTTTACACCAGCTTTTTTGCCAACCTGGTGCCTGCCACATGTTTTTACTACAACTCGCATCAACGTGTGTGATCCAAAACATCTGGAGGGTGCCAGGGTAGCAAAAGGCTGCCTCGCATAATGTTTAGATCACGTTGCTCCACAGAATAAGGTGACCAGCTGTCTTCTGTTTCCAGCGCCGCACAAGTACTACATCGGATTCCGCTATGTCCACCCTCTGACGGAGGAAGCCATTGAAGAGATGGAGGAAGATGGCATTGAACGGGCTGTTGCTTTCACACAGTACCCACAGTACAGCTGCTCCACCACAGGTGAGCTCGTACCTGGAGTACAGACTCAATGCCCGGCCTCCAAAGGCAGGCCTTGGTCTAATCCAGGGGCCAATTCTGGGAATCTGCATATTCTGTGCCTCAGCAAGAATACGCAAGGCAGTATCAAAATAGTCTTCCTCTTGATTTTGAGTAACCGCAGTCCATTCTACACATCTAGTACTACGGAACAGGCTCAAGGTGCTAGCATCTAGGCTTGCTAGAACCCCAACACGAGTTCTCCAGGAGTTTCCCCCCAGCGCTGCCTCAAGTTGCCTGGGATTGGATCTTCTGCATGCCAAGCAAGTGCTCTGCCACTTGCGCTCTACTTGGGCAGGAGCAGCAGCAATACTGTACATGGTTCTCCTTTGGCTCATTGCACAATTCATGCTGGTCTTGCTTTATGTGAAAGTGAGGTGGCGGCTATGTCAGCAAGCAGCCAGGCAAGTATTTTTTTACTTAGATGTGGACGTGCAGCAGAAAATGGTATTCAAAACTTGATTTTTAAAGAATGGTTTAGAACCACTCAATATCAGTTTCTGAGGAGCAATAGGCAGGGGAAATGTGGAACCTGCTTAGCTGTGCCACAGCCCAAAAATTATTAGCTGGTGGTAACATGGAGGTGACCTTTCCATGTTGTGGAATGCTCTCCTTGCTAAAATGCGAGAGGCCCCATCAGTATTGGCATTCCGCCGGCTCTTGAAGACATAGTTCATTACATGAGCTCTCCTCCGAACCCCCTCTCTTAACTTGCTAATGCTAAGGCCTTGTTTTATCGCTCATTTTAATTGTGTGTGTCTGTTTCAGTGTTTTGTTGGAATTGCCTTGTGTATTTTAACGTGTGCTTACATTTTCTGGTAGCTGTCTTTATACTTGTAAACGGCTTTGAAGCCACTTGGGCAATGTAAATTTGGTAACAGTAATAATTAACAAGGATAATATGTCCTTTTTGAGCAGCGTATCTTCCTGGCAACACCAGCCTGACCACTGTGAGGGGTTGAATGCTGGACTGAATGGACCTTGGGTCTGATCTAGCAGAGACTTTGCAGAGTCTCTGTATCCCCTCCTTAACCCTAACCCTAACCCTAACCCTTCCCACAAGTCGCCTTTTCTGCTCTTTTTTCCTTTCTGATGGGCTCATTGCTTTTGTCCTCTTCAGGGAGCAGCTTAAACGCTATTTATCGCTACTATGACAAAAAGGGGGATAAACCAAAGATGAAGTGGAGCACAATTGACAGGTGGCCAACGCACCCCCTTCTCATTCAGGTACGGAATTCTTGGTGGGAACCAAAGCGAGGAGCAGCGGAAACCAGCCAGGTTTGCCAAAGTGCCAGGCGTCTGTTGCGTCTGTGGGGGCAGGATGCAGGACAGTGTTTCTCCAGCTCGGGTCTCCAGCTGTTGTCGGACTACAACTCCCATCATCCCTAGCCAGCAGGATGATGGGAGTCGTAGTCCAACAACAGCCGGGGACCCCAAGTTGGAGAAACACTGATAGGATCTCTCTGATGTGCAGTGAGAACGTAGGTTCATCAAGGAGCTTGGGGCTGTACTTGTGAAACAAATAGATAACTGAATAGGTGAGGGTTCTTATTTGGAGCCTTTCCCCATATTTTATAACCGTTTTTTGTTTTACTCTTATGTAAAAATGCATAATTGTTAGTTGGTGCATGCCTAGAAAGGTTGGAAGAAAATCTTGGTGCAACATAGGATATTATTATTATTATTTAAATGCATTCAAATTCTCAACTGTGCTTGAGGATCACTGCCATGATTGGGGGGGCTGGCATTTGGACTTGTGGTTTATTTCTCCAACTTTTGCTTTTCAGTGCTTTGCAGACCACATCCAGAAGGAACTGGACTTATTTCCGCCCGACAAAAGGAAAGATGTAGTTATCCTGTTCTCAGCTCACTCTCTGCCAATGTCTGTGAGTAACAGCAATCCATTTCCAAAGCTGCAAAATATTTTCTTAGAGGGGCGATTTTTTAAAAAAATCCTTGTTTGTATGATCTAATCTAATGATCCATTCGCCAGTTTGCCTGTCCACGCACAAGACCTGCTCCCTGCCTTGCAGGCCGTCTTCCACCTGGCCTGGGAGGGTGGAGCCTGGACTGACTCCATCTACAAAAGCTGAGGCTGCTTTATTTTAGATCTTGTGATTTATATAGAAATTGTTCAGCTTGGTTGTGCTTATCAAAATGTTTTATTTATCATTCATGACTACTTTTGTTATGTTGTGGTTATGTATTTTTTTCCCTCATGTTGTAAGCCACCTTGAGCATGGTTTGAACTGCGGAAAGGCGACACACAAATAAAATTACGTATGCCTGTAGAGTGTCAGAAATACTGGGTTCTTCCTCTGTCATTCTCCTGTGCCACACAGGGATTTTTGTGATCTGTGGAAATTTGGTGCCATCTAGTGGTTTCTCTATAGCACCGAAAATAAGTTGCAATACTGCAGTTCTGAATTAAGCTGACTGGGGTTTGAAGGCACAAATGTCGCTTCAGTGGAAGAACAACCCACTAGAAATTATTTTTTAAAATATCCCCCGATAACATATTGCATCCACTTGAAATGTCTTGTATTAAACTACAGTTGGCTCCCGAACGCCACAAACCCGGAAGTGAGTGTTCTGGTTTGCGAACTATTTTTGGAAGCCGAACTATCCGATGTGGCTTCCGATTGGCTGCAGGAGCTTCCTGCAGCCAATCAGAAGCCATGCTTTGGTTTCTGAATGTTTTGGAAGTCGAACAGACTTCTGGAATGTATTGCGTTCGACATCCAAGGTATGACTGCATCTCCCTAGGAAGTGGAATGAATTGCTGAACCTCTCTGTCAGGTGTAGCTCTGTAAGGAGAATTAAGGTCTCCTAGCGACACTCAGCACCCTTTAAACATATATAGTGCAGACAAGGGCCATAATTTATTGGGTATAAGAAACAATTGGTTCTAAGCTTAGGCTGGGGCTGCATCTGATGGGACTCCTTATGAGTAAGGGGAACCCTTTAACTGGCATGTGTTGCTGCAAAATGTGGACTAATTGTGGTGGTTTGATAGCATAGGGGGAGCATTTGTAGTGTTTGTTTTAACCCTGATTGAGCTGTTTTAGCTAACTTGCCCTTTCTGTGCCATAGGTAGTTAATCGTGGCGATCCGTACCCACAAGAGGTGGGAGCAACCGTTCAGAGGGTTATGGAGAAACTCAACTACTCTAACCCATATAGGCTTGTGTGGCAGTCCAAGGTACATTTTTATTTCATTTATTGACGTCATTGGCATACTGTCCAGTGAAAGCCCGCAGAACAGTTAGCAATAAGCTTGTTCAGCTGTCGGAATTGGCCCGTGAGAGTAGATCCTGATAAGGATCTGACCCACAAAGCTTAAAAGGATCCCCATGCCTGCTTTAAAATGTGGTGTACAGTGGTGCCTCGCAAGACGAAATTAATTCGTTCCGCAAGTCTCTTCGTCTTGCGAGTTTTTCGTCTTGCGATGCACGGTTTCCCATAGGAATGCGTTGAAAATCAATTAATGCGTTCCTATGGAAACCGCCTTCAGACCAGGTCTGGGGACAGTCTGTCCCCCGACCTCTTCTGAAGGCTGGGAGGGGGGGACAAGGGCTTTTCTTCCCACCCCCAGCATTTTAAAAAACCCCGGGACAGCGGAGGACTTCTCCGCTGTCCGGGGCGATTTAAAAGCCCCTGGGAAGGCAGGCAGGGGGGACAAAGACTTTTGCCCCCCGCCAGCCTTCAGAAGAGGTCCAAAAAGCTCTCCCGGGAAGGCAGGCAGGGGGGAACAAAGACTTTTGCTCCCCGCCGGCCTTCAGAAGGTGTTCCCGCCCCGCCGCCCGGCTTCGGAGGAGCCTTCCGAAGCTGGGCGGCGGCGGGAGGTGTTCCCTCCCCGCCGCCCGGCTTCGGAGCATCGTTCCGAAGCCGGGCGGCGGGAGGAGGTGTGCCCGGCTTCGGAGCATTGTTCCGAAGCCGGGCGGCGGGAGGAGGTGTGCCCGGCTTCGGAGCATCGTTCCGAAGCCGGGCGGCGGGAGGAGGTGTGCCCGGCTTCGGAGCATCGTTCTGAAGCCGGGCGGCGGGGGGAGGTGTTCCCTCCCCGCCACCTGGCTTCGGAGGAGCCTTCCGAAGCCCGGCGGCGGGTGGAGGTGTTCCCGCCCCGCCGCCCGGCTTCGGAGGAGCCTTCCGAAGCCCGGCGGCGGCGGGAGGAGGTGTTCCCGCCCCGCCGCCAGGCTTCGGAGGAGGTCCGAGGACAGTGGGGAAGACGCGCTGTGCTTCCCCGCTGTCCCGGAGATTTCCCTATGGGCTGTCGTCTTGCGAAGCAAGCCCATAGGGAAATTCGTTTTGCGAAGCGCCTCCAAAACGGAAAACCCTTTCGTCTAGCGGGTTTTCCGTCTTACGAGGCGTTCGTCTTGCAGGGCACCATTGTATATATTGAATCGCAACTTTAACTTGAAACTGTTCTTAACCTGAGGTACCACTTTAGCTAATGTGGCCTCCCGCTGCCACGCGATTTCTGTTCTCATCCTGAAGCAAAGTTCTTAACCCAAGGTACTATTTCTGGGTTAGCGGAGTCTGTAACCTGAAGTGTCTGTAACCTGAGGTACCACTGTAATGTAATCTCTCTCTCTCTCTCTCTCTCTCTCTCTCTGTGTGTGTGTGTGTGTGTGTGTCCGTGTCCTTTACCCTAGGTTGGGCCTATGCCTTGGCTGGGTCCTCAGACGGATGAGACAATCAAAGGGCTTTGCCAGAGGGGAAAGAAGAATATTTTGCTGGTTCCCATCGCATTTACTAGTGACCACATAGAAACACTCTACGAACTGGACATCGAATACGCTCAAGTCTTAGCCAGTGAGGTAAACTGTTCTGCTTTCATTGTCATTCTGCACAGTTGTAGGCTGAAGGCTTTAAGCCTGCTTAATAGAAAGCAGATCCTGTTATAAACATAGAGTCATAGAATTGTAGCGTTGGAAGGGACCCTATGCAGGAATCTCAGCTAAAGCATCCATGACAGATGGCCATCCAGCCTCTGCTTAAAAATTTCCAAGGAAGGAGAGTCCACAACATCCTGAGGGAGACCGTTCCACTGTCCCAACAGCTCTTACTGTCAAAAGTTTTTCCTGATGTTTAGTCAAAAAATCTCCTTTCTTGTAGCATGATGCTTATTTCTGTGTAACCATGTTTAAAATAGGGCTGTAGGTTTTGTTTCCATGGGGCAGCTGTGTTTATCTGCTGGCAGCAAAAACAGCAGAGAATCTACATGGCGCCTTAAAAACTTATTGCAGCACAAGCTTTTGTGGATTACACTCCACTTTCATCAGCCGCCTGCATGAAGTATTAGTGTGATTTAAAGACAGGTAGGTGGGTTCTGCAAGTCTGTGTTGGCACCCTTCACCATCCAGGTCCCCCTGCCAGGGCCTGTTGGCTTTTGTAGTACAGTCATACCTCTTGTTACGTTCAGTTCAGGTTACGTCTTTTCAGGTTGCGACCCGGAAGTACCAGAAAGGCTTACTTCCGGGTTTCACTGCATGCCCAGATGCGCAAAATTAAGTCACGCGCATGCACAGAAGCGGCAAATTACGATGTGCAGACACGGGTTGCGTTCTGCTCATGTTTCAAACGTGCCTCCGGAACGGATCCTGTTCGCAACCAGAGGTACTACTGTACAAAACACTTGAAGGCACCAGGATGGCGAAGGTTGGCGTAGAATAGTCCCTCACCCCCAACCGTGTTTCAGTCTGTACCTGTAATTCAAGATGGCGTTTCTGATGTAGTCCATGAAAGTTCATGTCATTAGAAATTAATTCGACTTTAAGGTGCGACCATACTTGGTTATATTTTACGTATTGTCTGTTTACAGCCCAACTTTTCAGCCAAAGCTAACCCCTGAGGTTTTGCTCTCATTTGTGGAAGTATTTCTATCTGATTAAATGTCAGGCTGGTATACAGTGATGTGTATATAATTAATGCCTAAAACACTTAAGTGGACAGCAGGTGTTCAGGGCTCTGTATACATAAACAAGAACCTATATAAACTACGGCCTGGTAGTGTATGCCTTAACAACAATTAAAACTCAGCACCAAGGAACTAGACATTAAAGATGAAAGGGTGTGTGTGTGTGTTTGGTGTTTTCTTCTGCTGTCTGTTAGCGGATGACACAGTCCAGGGTTTAGGTTATTTCCTCTGAGAGGGACGGGGTGGAAGGAGCTACATGTGAAATAGCAGGTAGGCTGTGATGGTTAACATGACCACCAATAGAAGCAGCCCTTTTCACTGCTGTGCTGTTGGTTGGACGCAAGCACTAAATATCAGTGCAGTTTGCAAATAGAAAGCCATATTTGGGTAAAAATGTGGGGGTTTGGGTAGCAGAAAAGAGTTAGTGTAAGTGGGTTGGTTTGGGGTTTTATTGGGGGGTGGGGACTACTTCCCCAGTAGAAGAAGAAGAGTTTGGATTTGATATCCCGCTTTATCACTACCCAAAGGAGTCTCAAAGCGGATAACATTCTCCTTTCCCTTCCTCCCCCACAAAAAACACTCTGTGAGGTGAGTGAGGCTGAGAGACTTCAAGAAGTGTGACTGGCCCAAGGTCACCCAGCAGCTGCATGTGGAGGAGCGGAGACGCGAACCCGGTTCCCCAGATTATGAGACTACCGCTCTTAGCCACTACACCACACTGGCTCTACAGTCCCTTGGCAATCCGACAGTGTGTTTGCAGATTTTTCCTAAGTGATTTCCAGGGTACTGGAGGGACATGGGACTATAGCAGCAGCAGGGAATCCATGGCCCTCCCGATGTTGCTGAACTACAACTCCCATCATCCCCGACTGTTGGCCAGCCTGGCTGAGGTTGATGGGAACCAGGAGTCTCACATCATCTGGGGGTGCCATAGGCTCGCCATAACTGGACTGCAGGAAAGCTCCTGTACTGCTGCTCTAGTAAAGTATGAACTGGGCTTAATTCTGACTCATTAATTCCTGTCGCTCTCTGCAACATCCTTGAAACAAGGGCTTCGTCTGAGGGCTGTGGACTTAGTGAGATGATACCACGTGTTAAACCATTTGCTCCCTCTCTTCTTCTCCAGTGCGGAGTCGAAAACATCCGAAGAGCAGAATCCCTTAATGGAAACCCATTGTTTGCCAAGGTAATTCCACCCCTTCTGAGTCTCTCCAGTTTCCTAGTTAGGGATGGTGGAATCGACTTGTTTCCCATCCTTGTCGATTTTACAGGGGTTCAGCTTTTTTTCTACCGCTCCTGTTAAGTAAGAGGAAGGGATGTAGCTCAGTGGTATTGGTAGATGATGTGAATTCGTCCCTCACAGCTCAGTAATGACAACACTGGCTGACAGCCGTGCTCTAGGGTTTTGTATGGGGCCGTTCTGGGCGTTACCTGGGCATGCCTGGGATTGAACCTGCGACCTTCTGCATGGCAATGCCAGTTGCTGCAGCAACTGATCTCTTGGTTCAGGTGTGGAGAAATTACAGTGGTGCCCCCTGCAAGACGAAATGCCTCGCAAGACGAAAAACCCGCTAGACGAAAGGGTTGCCCGTTTTTGAGTTGCTTCGCAAGACGATTTTCCCCTATGGGCTTTGCTTCGCAGACGACAACGGCTTGCCGAGCCTTGCGATTTTTTCGCGCTTTCCTCCCCTTTTTCCTAAGACCGCTAATAGCGCTTTTAGCCGCTAAGCTTTAAATGGCCCGCTAACCGCTAATAGGTTAATTCCGCTAAGGGCCGCTAATAGGGTTGCTGTCCGCAAAGCAACAAAAAAAAACGCTAGAACGAGAGACTCGCCGGAATGGATTATTTCGTCTGCAAAGGCACCACCTGTATTGAACTGGGTTTTCTAGTTCGGCAGAGCAATCCTGACTCCTTGCAGAGATAGGGAGGAGGATTAGGCTAGGACAAAGGAGTGGCTTTGCTAGGAACCTCCCAGTCCAGCCATGGAAAGTTCCACAATATAGCTGTGTCCAACTGTCAGTGCTTGGAGACAGCAAATTCAAAGCTCCCCTAATTGGGATGTGAATAGGTGCTAGGGGAGGCTAGATGTACAATTGCAATCAGAATAATTCAACGCCCGTTGCAAATCAGGTTTATTATCAAAATTGACAGACTTTCAGCTGTTTTGCAATGAGCAAATCAAAAGCAGTTGAAACTTCGGATGCTTCAAGTAGTTTCCCCAAGTTCAGTTGAAAATGCAATAATAGTGAGACTGGAGAAGCCAACATAAGTTGCATTTTCAGCTGAATTTGGGGAAACCACTTGAATAATTCCGATTGCAACTGTATTAGATATTTAATTCTTCCTTCCTCACGTTTGTGAGTTCAGCAGAGTGCCATCCCTTTGCAGCTTAAAAGAGAAGCTTAGTTTTAGCCTTTTAGTTTAAGTAATCCAGGATGCTTTAAGGCAGTCTGGAATTTCCCCCTTTTCTATTCCTTAAAATAATAATTACACAAATAGCCTTGTAAAAGATAAAAAATAACATTTACAAACTCAGGATACTTGCTGAAGAGCAACAGGTGCAGCAACTTGGTTCAGGCAGGCTTAAAGAGGGCCTCCTCTGTGGGGTGTGCATGAAACAGGGCCTTCTCGGTGGTGTCATCCAGGCTGACCCCAATTTGTTCCCTCCCTGACTTCCAGCAACCAGTGGAACCAGTGCCACCCAAGCATTTAATTAATAAATGCCCAAGATACCCAATGGTCTATTGAAACACACCTGGAAAATCTTGTGAAGGGCATTTTCCAGATCATACGTTTTTTAATGTCAGTTTGGCCTTTGATACTTGCATCAATAAACCCAGATTGCAATAACAACAACAACAATAATAATGTACAAAAGTTGTAAGATCAACTTGCACTTACCTTGTTAGTTGGAAGCCTAATGTTTGTGGTTTTTGTCCTTTTTTTTTAAAAAAAAACCAACATTTTATATTATTTTACTTATTTTCAGGCCCTCGCAGACTTGGTCTCTTCCCATCTCAAGTCGAACGAAATCTGCTCCAAGCAGTTAACCCTCAGTTGCCCGCTTTGCGTGAATCCCACTTGCCGAAAGACAAAATCGTTCTTTACCAGTCAGGAGCTGTGATGCGCATTTGCAGTGGGTTCACCTGACACAGAGTATAACCCTGCGGATCCTGCCCTGTGCGCCCGTTTACACTGCTTTCTTTTGCCCCGCTCAGGGCCGCTTCAGACGGGACGATTAGCCTCCTGTGTGTGCTAAGAAGGGTCCCAAATGGGGTTTGCACTGGTCTGAAGGAGGGATGAATCTGAAATATTTTTATGTTTTTTTTTTGTTTCTATGGAGGGATCTTGCATTGGAAGGGAAGTAACATTTCAAAGGGTTTCATCCTGCCGGGGTTGCTGAGAACACACTTGTCTTCCTATAAAGGCATTCAGGGGACTCTTAGCACCTCGCAGTATCAAGCTTGGCACTAGGCACTGAAAAAGGAGCAAAACTTCTGATACTTATGAGCTGCGTATATACTGGAGTAGGGTTCATGATTCAGCAGTGATGTTGAATAATAGCGACTGGCTCGATTTCAGCTTGCGGGGGCTGGTTGCTGTCCAGGTTAGTTTAATCACTTCTGAAAGAACTACTTCAAGATCTTGACCTGAGAGTTACAACATAGATCTCTTAATATGTACTTGTCATAAAAATAGTATTTTTAAAATCCTTCCATGTAGGATACTACTTTTTCCCCCTATGTGGTGTGTTTTGTTTTGTTTTTTCCACGCTTGGAACTCTGCAACTAACCACACTGACCATCACGCTGCTGATACTGGTTTGTTTCTAATCAACTGACACCTTTTTTAAAGCATGTATTTGTGTTTTTTTTAAAAATGAAGCTTTTTTTCTTTTTTGTGGGGTTCGTTCTTCCCCTCCCCCCCCCCAAAAATGCAGAATTGATTCTGCACCAGCCCAGCAGCTTTCAGTTCCTTTGACAGCAGAGTTGTCCAAATTGAATGGACGTGCGATTTCAGTGGTCTCATCTGCCCAATAAGCCAAAGATCGAGAACTTGTGCCCCTTCAGATGTTGCTTGACTCTCACTCCCATCAGCCCCAGAGAGCATGGCCCAGTGGTCAGGGATGAGGGGAATTGCAGTCCAACAACATTATAAGGGCCAGAGAATCTCCATCCCTACAAACAGCCCAGATCCTTGGCCCTCATAAGCCTTCCTGAACTTTCAGGCCTGCCATTCAGGCTTGTCCCTTGGCCCAGTCAGGTAAACAAACCACCTTATCTTGACATTCACGGTTTGTTTCTCTGTAAGGAGCCAGGATTCATTAAGCCAGCAACTAAGTTTGGATTGTTAGGGACAAACCAACTGTGATCCCTAGTTTCACCAAGCTGGTAAACAGCAGCATCTTGCTGGTCCTCAATATGACGTACAGTGGTGCCTCGCAAGACGAAAAGAATCCGTTCCGCGATTCTCTTCGTCTAGCGGTTTTTTCGTCTTGCGAAGCAACCCTATTAGCAGATTAGCGCTATTAGCGGTTAGCGGCTTAGCGGCTATTAAAGGCTCTTAGCGGCTTAGAAAAAGGGGGGGAAAGCGAAAAAAAATCGCAAGACTAGCAAGACGTTTCGTCTTGTGAAGCAAGCCCATAGGGAAATTCGTCTTGCGAAGCAACTCAAAAACGGAAAACCCTTTCGTCTAGCGGGTTTTCCGTCTTGCGAGGCGTTCGTCTTGCGGGGCACCACTGTATTAAGCCAGGGTTCTCGGCTTATCATCACGGTCAAACTTGGCCTTTGTATGAAGGGAACGCTTTTATTTTTTCCCTTGGAAAGCATAACCTGTAAAGAAATTGCCATAGCCTGTGGCTTGGGGCAGAGGGAAGCTACGTTGAGGCAGCATTGATTGTGTGTGTGTGTTGTGGTTCAATGAGTACAAATGTCTCTTCATAACTTCTGGATGAGACTCAGGGAAGCGCTGCATCCATATAACAGCTTGGACCTGAGGAGTGACTCCTCTTTTCTGGCCCAGGAACCACATTCCGCCTTGGCCAATCTTAGGGTCTGCATATCAGCAGTGGGTGTGGCCGGCCAGCCACCCACTCTACCTGGAACACAGGTAAGGCACACAGGCCCCCGAACTGTGAAGATGAGCTGAGAGGTGGGGATTATCACCCCACACCATACATACTATGATTTATTTTTGATGCTGCCAAATCAAATTCATAGGTGGTTGTTGAAGTGTAAAACATTACTGGGAGGGAGCGGATCTGGATCAGGCCTCCAGGCTATCCACCCCCCATCCCAGCTCCTATAAGCTGAGGCTAGTTTCAGCTGGAGACCTTCGGTAATCAAGTTGTGCAGGCAATGTTTTCATATCTATGTGCATAAACACTGGTGATTGTGCAGCTCTACACAAAGGTGCAGAACATGTGCAAATTTGAGATCATCAATGGGAAATTCTGTGCTTTGCTCAGTATGGGTATTTGCCAACTGACATCAGAGAATGTGTGAATCGATCAGAGGTGTCTTTTTACATTACTCAGTTAATACACATAACCTGTGTGCAAATTTTGTATGCCACTTGGGGGGGAATTATTCTGGGGGGAGAATGCGAGCGTTACCTGGTGAGCATTGTCCGTTTTGCATATTCTCCACGGCTGTGCTGTACTTGGTACCAATGTGATCTGGACATGGTAAAATAAAAATCCACTATTGATGACCTGTGCGTATTCTGCACACCTCTTTATGTGTACAGTCATTGGCGTTCGCAAACCTACATTTCTGAACTTGCATTAACCACAGTGTGCGCACACGTCTCATTGGAATGGATGTACCCTTGCAAATTGCCTGGCTGATGCTTCTGAACTGGAACTGTCAAGAAATTCAGGCTCTGTTTCCTACAGCCTCTTACTTTAGATCATTCCAGTTCTTGGAGATTGTTAACAAGCGACATGTCGGATCTGGTGAATGTTGCCATTTATTGGTAGGTCTTAAGATGTGAGGAGGGTTTCCAGTGGGGAATTTTAGAAATGTGCGTCAGAAGGACTTGTTTGTGCATGGTAAAATTATGGAACTAAGAACGACACCTGGGCACTTGCTTAATAGCAAAGTTTTGATGCTTCCTGGGAAATGTCAGCTTTGTCTGAAATGCCTTCAGGATCTCTTAAGAATTGCCAGTAAATGTAAAACATTCACCAGACTGTTGGCACTTACCCACAGCAGGTGCTGTTTGTCCTCCAATGGTAACTGCTCTACTCCAGAAGCTGCCCTGTTGAATGTAGACTATTGTGAGGAGCGAGTGCCCTTCCCATGTCCCTCCGTTGCTCCTGTGTGAGGAGCCTTGTCTCTTTTAAACCAGCGTTCTTGTCTTCACGGAGAGCTTCCTTCTCTTTGAACAAGCGGGAATATGAGGCCATTCTTCAGAGCTGCGTTATAGATCTGCTTATCGCTTTCTAGCTGTCAAGCCACTGTGGTTTTTGTGGTATTTCTATGGATGCAAATTGATCTGGATTTAATTCATGTTGTCAATTAAACTCCAAATGATCTATTAGAGCGTTTTTTTTCTTTTTCAAATGGTATGCAAGACTGCTGGTGGCAAGCTTGTACTGCTGGTTCTTGGCAGGCAGAAGATTATAAATTTCCTTGAGTCAAATAAATAAAATATTGGGCTCTCTTTTCTCTCTCTCTCTCTCTCTCTCTCTTTTTTGTTTTTTTTTAAGGGTAAGTATGGATAGGGTAAGGACGCAGGTGGCGCTGTGGGTTAAACCACAGAGCCTAGGACTTGCTGATCAGAAAGTCAGTGGTTTGAATCCCCGTGACGGGGTCTGCTCCTGCCAACCTAGCAGTTCGAAAGCACGTCAAAGTGCAAGTAGATAAATGGGTACCGCTCCGGCGGGAAGGTAAACGGCGTTTCCGTGCGCTGCTCTGGTTTGCCAGAAGCGGCTTAGTTGTGCTGGCCACATGACCTGGAAGCTGTATGCTGGCTCCCTCGGCCAATAAAGCGAGATGAGCGCCGCAACCCCAGAGTCTGTCATGACTGGACCTAATGGTCAGGGGTCCCTTTACCTTTACCTTTTATGGATAGGGTGAGGAAGTACGTTTTATGCTGTGGGATACGATTAGGAAACTAATCCTGCTCCCACATCAGTAACTAGTTTTGCTTTAGAACCATGATGGGAAAACCCTGCCTCTCCCAGATGTTGTTTGACTACAACTCCCATTATCCCTGACTTGGCCATGCAAGCAGGGGCTGATGGGAGTTGGAGTCCCAGCAACTCCTGCAGAGCCACATGTTCTCCAGGCCTTAGGGAGAAATGGGATGAAGGGTGACTGAAACCCACAAATCAACTCACCAGCCTAATCTTGTTCATAGATGCCACAGCCCAGACCTGTAAGCCTGGAATGCTCTCCTGAGACAGACAGATGCCAGCCATGTCGTAACTGTAGACATGAGCAAACTTCGGTTCTGGGTGGTGGGAATTTTTATGTATATAGGATGATAAAGTTCCGTAAAGCTTCACATTGATCATAATTTATAAAGCACACATCTTTGCAAGGAAAAGCTAAAACAACAACAACAAATATATTATTTACACCCCACTCTGGGTGGCTGCCAACAGAATATTAAAAACACAATAAAACATGAAACATTAAAAACTTCCCTAAACTGGGCTGCCTTCAGATGTCTTATAAAAAGCAGATAGTTGTTTATTTCCTTGACAACTGATGGGAGGGTGTTCCACAGGGCGGGTGCCACTACCGAGAAGGCCCTCTGCCTGGTTCCCTGTAACCTCACTTCTCGCAGTGAGGGAACCTCCAGAAGGCCTTCGGATCTGGACCTCAGCATCCAGGCTGACGATGGGGGTGGATACACTTCTTCAGGTATACTATTTGATAAAGGGAAGTTGTGGACTCCCTTGCTTGGAGGTTTTTAAGCGGAGGTTGGGTGGCCATCTCTCATGGATGCTTTAGCTGAGATTCCTGCATTGCAGGGAGCTTATCTAGATGACTCTTGAGGTCCCTTCCAACTCTGCAATTCTATGATTGTAGTAAAATCTCTTAAGTGCTTTACAAGATGTTTTAAAATTATTAATAAAAAACAAAAAATTAAAAGAAATTAAAACTTGTCAACAGGGATAGGCTTGCCCAAACAAAGCAAGCAGTAAAGGCACCTGCCTAATGTCAATAGGCAGGGAGTTCCAAAGTGCAAGTACTGCCACACCAAAAAGACTTGATTTCTTACACCTGCAGAATGAGCATTGTGTAGAATCTGTAACTGATAGAATGGAACTGATAGAATGTGGGATAAGTTGATCCCACAAGTAAACTGGTCCCTAGCCACTAAGGGCTTTATATATACGTACCAATACTTACACCTTAACCTTGGCTGGGATGCGGGTGGCGCTGTGGGTTAAACCACAGAGCCTAGGGCTTGCCAATCAGAAGGTTGGAGGTTCAAATCCCCGCGGCAGGGTGAGCTCCCGTTCGGTCCCTGCTCCTGCCAACCTAGCGGGAAGGTAAACGGTGTTTTTGTGCGCTGCTCTGGTTCGCTAGAAGCGGCTTAGTCATGCTGGCCACATGACCCGGAAGCTGTACGCCGGCTCCCTCAGCCAATAAAGCGAGATGAGCGCCGCAACGCCAGAGTCGTCCGCGACTGGACCTAATGGTCAGGGGTCCCTTTACCTTTACCTAATCTTGGTTTGCTAACAAGCCAGAAGTGCAGAAAAGATTATGTCAATGCAGAACACACAAAACCAAAGGACTGCTCTCTTTCTTTCTACCTCTTCCTCAAACCCCAACAGACAGTGCTTGGATGCTCATGCAGATTGCTTGGCTGTCGGCTGAGAATCTGCCCAGACGTGAAAACTGAAGTCTTAAGTTTTGTGGGAATGTTATAATGGCTATAA